CTGATGGCATAAGATGTAAGTACAACTCCTCCGGTTTCATATGCAAAAAAAATTATTGCGCTAGCTTACGTGGTTGCAGTGCTACCGGGATTTAAAAATAGTTACGCAAAACAGCCGCTCCCACCGGCTTTAAAGGGTTAACAGATTGTGGAAAATCCTGTGGAGAAAATGACTAATTTAAGTATTCAGTCCATAGATATTAACACACGATATATCTTCACTGGGGACGCTCCCTCAGCCTTTTACCGCTGCTTGTTGTGGCATCTTTCCGTGATTAGTCTCAGCAGGGGGAAACCATCTGCAATCAGACTGATATCAGGTGATGCTCGTGCTGTGACTTATGGGCAATTGCTTTTTTCTTTCAGCAACTTTTTTCTTTCATCATTCCTGTAGTTCACTAGTTACTTTTTGTATGTTTTTGAACTGCAATCTGTTTTTTCTGGATTTTCGGCTCGTGTGGGAGGTATCATGAACAACAGGGAAACATGTATGCCTACATCCTCTGTCTAGCAGCTTGTTAGGCCTTTACATGAGTACTTCTGCTTTTTTTTTTTTCAACATTTCTAGCAGCTGACTTTGGCAAACCGATTACCTTTTGTGTACCTCTGATAGATTTTTTCTTTTGTTAACCCCTATTATTGTTTTCTTCAAGTGAAAGTGAACTCTTAACCCATATTGACAGAAAAATTCACATGAGTCTAATTGCCAACCTCAGTCACACAGTTCTTTTTACACGGATGTAAAGCATACTTGAGACTTGGCCTTTTACAGTAGTACCTGCTTTATGTCGATTTTAATGTGCCGAAGTGAGAAATCAAAGAAAAAATGGTCCCTGAACAAATAATTGGTGTGCAGATGGTAAACAAGCAAATATTTCTCCTTTAACATCCAGCTCGCCTCAAACAGTGCAGCAACACAAACGAAGCTGCTGCAACAGCACCACAAATACCGATGTAACGCACGTGCATGTGTTCAGAAACGTGATGACAGCGGGTGTGTCAGGCTGGCAGGTAGACAAAGCACAAAGTCTATGCTGTGTGAAAGCATGTGTGTGTGTGTGTATCTTCAAACGGTTCTCTGTGGTAGACGATCAACTGCTTCCATTTTTTAACATTTTGGATGCCATCCGGGGTTAAACAAGGACCTGCTCCTGACCTAATTCCACACGGGTTTGTGTTGTACGATACGTGTGTGGTAATAGCTGTGCTAGTAGGGTAGTTATCCAGGTGTAATGTGACCCATCTTGCCCGGGAATGGGTGTGTCCTGATGTAACAGACAGACCGAGCGGAACAGCACAGAAGGCGTTTTTAATGCTCATTAAAAGCAAGCAACAACAGGTTCATTTACAGCAGAGAACAACTTGCCTCATATACTAATGAGGCAGGTTGCGCGCTTTTTTCTGCAACATTAAGCCCGTGTTACACTTCTATCAGCTTTAGTGTACAAGCAGAGAGAACAAGTGGTATCAACTAGAGTGAGTTAAAAGTAGGTTACTACGCTGTACCTCCTCGAAGTATCGGGTATATTTTAAACATCTGCCTCATCAGTTAATCTGTTGTTTAGATTAGTTTTAGCTATGAGGCGCGTTGTTTATTAAGATTCCAATTTATTACACCTCAACTATCTGCTCTGCAGTTAATCATTGACGGCCAAAGTTACAAAGCTGACTTTAAATCAGGGAGTCCAGGCTACCATTATCCTTCTCTAAATATTTACCCTGCTTCGACATAGCTGAGCTGTCTGTGCTGCACCAACCAGATAGACAGGCAACAGAAACGGCTGCACTCTGAGGTTAAGGCCAAGTGTAAGGCCAGCAAACACCCACATGCATCTTGTTCAAGCACGGGCAGATTCAAAAGCACCTCGACTCTGTTACGGGTCTGTGGCCTAGATGGATACGTGGTTGTAATTGATTTTCTAGCTTGAGGGAATGTGGTGCACATATGATTACTGCCATGAGAAATCACGATTTAACTCCTTTTTACTATTTCTGGTATCAATATATTATGTACAATGTCATTTAGTGCCGGACAGATGTTTGCGAGGCCGTGACCGTGACATTAAAAAAAAAAAGAAAAAGGCCGAAAAGAGAGCGAGAGTGGCTGTTGGGGAAATGACTGGGTTTGGGTGTGACCTGCTCAGCTATGCACTAGTGATCATGTGAGACCTGTGCTAATTATACACTTCTCAAGAAGAAGGTCGATCCTCTCTCATGGGCAGAAAACATGTGCACATGTGTCCAGGAGGGTGCATTAGTGTCTGCGTGTTGGGAGTGGGCAATGTGGCTTCATGTAACACAACTCATTCGAGAGTTAGTCCTATTTCAACCTCTCAATCTGTGTTAAAGAGAATTAGGGCAGCTGATTTTTCACTCAGTGCTGCTGCGGGTCTGTTTAGAAAGACTAATGCAGAGTGTGTGTGTGTGTGTGTGTGTGTGCAGAACTAGAGGTTTATGCCTTATCATATGGTATGAACATTTATCTGACAAATCCACAGGTTTTCTTTCTGATATTTCCTCTATCCTCTTTTGCTCTTTCTCTGTCTTTTTACTTTCTGCTTCTCTTTCCATTGTGGGTTTCGGAGACCTGCTCTGTTTTTCATTACCAGTGGGAAAAATTGGGGGAGTTGTTTTAAAAAAAAAAAAAAAAAGTATTACCCATCTCCATTAATACACATATCCTAGTGGAAAATGAGTCCAAACTACTAAAAAAGGACTTCAGAGTCCTTCAAAAAGCCACCGTATACTTGCCAGTCACTCCTTTTTAGTGGCAACCTCTACCTCAGTGTGACAATTTAAACATCTGCCTGCAGATAAAAGCACCACTGCTCTCTCAGTCAATATCCTCTCGCAGTCAGTAACACTGAACTCAGGAGTCTGTGACATGTAGGTAACGTTGTGTTATGTCTGTAGCAGTTATGCTGCTGCAGCAGGTCTCCAGTTTGCTAAAACTTGAATATAACTGGATGCCACCTTTTTTTTTGTTTTGGCTATTTTAAAATTTTAATCCAAATTATTTTCTGACATCTGGCAACACAATATTTTAACTATGTGAGGCTGAGTAAACTAAACTGCTTATGATTATTATGAGTGCCTTATGTTCCACTTTTGCAAAGTTGCGGTGTTTTGAGAAGATTTCAGGAGATCAAGCTGTGAAAATATATTAAACTTTTCTTGTAATTTTCATGTGCACAGGTGAAGAAGCTGTTGAAGAGTCAGCTTGGGCCTGACAATGTTCTTTTGTCCACATCTGGCTGTAACAACTCTTCCCCTGAGTTGCACTGCGCACACGCTGTCCTCATCCTAACCCTGCTCACATGCAGTCAATGACCACGAGTCACCAGTGTCTGCCGGACAATACAAACACGAAAAACATACAGTGCCAAGTCAATGCTGGAAACTTTGGGTTGAGGTCCACCCATCTCCAGAGATCTTGTGCTCCGATAAAAAGAGTCATTGTGAAAGAGCGAGAGAATCGACGAGAGTGTGAGAGAGAGGAAAAAAAGAGGTGTTTGCTTTCCTGCTGCTGCCTAAAAATGGAAAATTACTGCATACAGTTCCCCAACTCTGCTCTAAAGCAGATACACATATAGAAACACACACAAACCCCTTATAACTGCCCTTAGGCCTCTGAACAGGAAGTGGTTTCAGCGAATGAGAGCTACATGATGACGCTATCGCCTTGTTCGTTTCTAGCAGCTGAGCTTTGCTTAGGGCATCCGTATGAGTTTGTACATCTGGCTATTCATCAGACTGTTCGTCTGCTTTTCTATTCAAACACTGCCACACAGCAAACATGATCACTTCCAGAATAACTGCGCTATTGTAGTAAATTCATGCAACTGTGTTTATGTGCAGTGTAATCAGTCGGAAAAGCAGCCGATTCTTGAATGAATTCCATTTGGAAGTAAACACTACTCAAAACATTTCGGACTGCGCCAGAAAATTCCACAGCTCTGTGTTAAATATGCCGGACTGCCTCACCTAACCCCACCGCCAAAACACCCACCCCTCTCCATTCTGCACCCTTCATCACACGTTCCAGTCACCTGACCAGAAATAGGTCGGACCAAGGAGAGCACATGCTGTGGCCAGATGGTGCACTCCAGTTTGTTATTTCCAGTTTGCAACACCATAAATTCCCTCAAACCGCCTGTCAGACCGAATATGCTCAGTCTCTTATCTGTATCTCTTTATCGACTCCAGATTTCCTGCTCGCCACTTCTCCTTTCTTACCTTGAGCGAGTCGAAGCAAGCGATGACCCGTCCGTTGTCCACCTGGCAGCTCTTGGCTGGGTGAGCGAACTTGCACTCCTGGTCGGAGCGTGAGCACGTGCCCCTCTGGAACTCCCGGCATACTTCCAGTGTCAGCCACTTTGTGTCACGGATGTGTGTTATGTTCATTGCCATCTCAAGACGCCGGCAGAAAAAAGTATTCCGAGCGGAGATCTGTTCGAAAACTCTTCGAAATCTGTTCAAATTAAGTACCTATAGTGTTGTTATCCACAATCTTTTTCTTTTTTTGTTTACGTATCAGTGTTGTCCATGAAGATGAAATGAAACACTCAAAAAGAAAAGTTCCAACTGATTGACTGGGCTCCTTCTCCAAAGTAAAATGTTGCAGGATGGCTGTGGATGTAAGCGGGTCCTTTTCTTGATCAGACAGCGGCTGATAGAGTTATTATATCCAGGGGAGACTACTTAGCTTAACAGTCAAGCTGCCTCTCTTGGTTAGATTTTCTCTCTCACTTGTTATTGCTTACTGAACTGCGTCATCTATAACATTCCCAGGCGAAGGTGACAGCCGAACTGAGAGCCCTCTGGTTAGGTGCAGTGAAGCAGGCAACAAAGGTGACAGTCTAGGTGTAGCCTGCTACAAGAAGGTTAAGGACACTGAGGACTAAGTGGAGGCTTTAGAGGGTTGAAGGCGAAGGTGAAAGGCAAGGTGATGCTGTGTGGGCCTGGTGGTGTGTTGGGCTGCTGTGGTAAGGCTGGTCAGCTGGTGGATAGTTGCTGGCAGCAGGGCCGTCTTACAGTGAGGAGAGCGGAGTTTGGAGTCAGGCTGCGTGGAGTGGATGATGATGGTACAGTGGATGGGGTCGGAGCGAAGGCTGCGAGGAGGGTGTGGCTGCTGTCCTTGTACTCGTGTTGCTGTGGCAGCAAGCGAGCGAGGCAGGGGGGAGGGTGGAGCTTCAGCTGTAGAAGCAGGTCAAAGCTGCAGCAGACATCAGGGAAGGCACTTCCTCTGGGGAGATAAAGAGAGAGATAGAACAAAGGGGAAAAAAGGAACGAAAGATTAGTCTGATACAACACGTTAAAAAAAAAGAAGATAACAACTATCATGTTTGTTTTCCCGCTCGTGTGTCTTTCAGAGAAGATTCTGACCTGCAGGATTTTTAAAGTCGTGCCACTGCTGAGCTATGCAGCTGTGGGAGTGAAGAATATGTAAAAATCTCAGAAATGCAGGGGTGTCAGCGAAAACAAATAAAACTTTCACCCGCCCTGCGCTCTAAACACACATAGAGCAAGCACACCTTCATCAGGCCTTGCTACGCACAAACAGACACACACACATAGAGAGAGAAATGCACAAAGCAGCCATTCACAACTTTCCACATCATCTGGACAACGCAGAGAAAAGCACATCAAATCCCGTATCACTTACAGTCCAGTACAGCAAAGCCGGCCATTGCAAATGTGTTTAGAGGTGAAAGAAAGGAAGAGAGTGAAAGCAAGGGGGAAGTTGAGGCTGGGCATGAGGGAGAAGAGTTTAGTCATTTCCTTTCTTGCGAAGCCTTGTGAGAGCGGTGGCCAATGAGAGCTTGCGGAGTTGCAGCAACATTCTGGGCCGAGCGCCAGGTGAGAGCAAGGGGGAGGAGCGAACAGGAGGCTGACCTGCCCGCTTGCTGTTGAAAGACACACAGGCTGAACTGTTTCTGCCTTACAAGATAACCTGTTTCCTTATCAAAACAATAAAATTCATGGACTCCAGAGATAATGTCGTTTTATTTTTAAATAGGAAATACCACCATTGCAGTATGGCAATGCATATTGCAACGGTCTCGCACAAATGCAAGCTCGCACGCAGTAATTGTGCAGAACACGATTGAACGAAACAGCCTGGTTATTATTTCACTGTCAGAATTTTCCCATTTATCACTTTTAAATGAGTTTATACGTTTAAATGAGTCGTTTTTGCTTTGCTTTGTTTGTTTAAATTTTGCATTGCTGCCAGTGGTTTCTATTTTTGGTGAATCCATTGTATGGGGTCTGTTGGGGGAATCTGCATGATTGGGATCCCAGGGGCCCATCCTGCCCTTATCGCTAAGCCAGAGTAAGTCACCACACCCTGTGTAGTGAAATCGCTTTCCCCAGAAAAGCATGTGCACCCTCAGCAATGCCACCAACCAACCACTGCTAACTTTACAACACTGCAACGCACTATATCAGAGCCCTGCAGCAGTGCAGCGCAGCCCATGATGACCCAGCAACATGGATAAACAGTGTATTTAGAGAAAGAGAGAGAGAGAGAATGACAAAACATTTCAGTTTCACCTTGGATGACCCTTATGATAGCAAATGTAGCAATGTAGCATTAGAAATGACCTTTGGCGTGTATTCGGAACGCAAATCCTGCAATGACCATACTCGAAGGACTACACACATCCCCAGTGTGATATGATCTTTCATATCACACGTTATATGGAAATCAAAATAAATTAACTTTCCAATGAAACACAAACATAAAATATCTGTCTCTTCACTATAACTAGAGCTGTGTCAGTTTACATGGCCAGTATTGCCGATACCAGTAACGATAACCTATAGCGGGAGTTTATGTAGTGGAAAGCAGTGTGTCATGATTTAAGAGCTGAATCATCATCCATTCATATTTTAATAATTTCAGCATATTTTAATGACCCCTAAATCGTTATGATTTTTTACTTTCCACAGTAATTAGTTGATACAACAAAGCACACTTTTCAGCTTTTTCATCTATTTTAAAACTGTTTTTCTTTAGACCTGGAATGTAAATGTGCCTGTATCTGAAGCACTTTGGATCAACTTCTGTTGTTTAAATGTGATGTGACACAATTCAGTGGGCTACATATTGAGAGGTTAGAAACAAAGTATCACTCTGATACCAACACCAGCGTTGGTATGAATACTAACGATATTTGGATCGATCTGCACACCTCTCTTATCTTAGTAAATGTTGCGCAAGAAGCAATAGTTTTCCTGCCGGTTTAAAAACTATTTTATGCCAAAAAACATTTTTGAGTAACAGAACTTAGATTGAATATCTTCGTCAGAGTGCAACTCTTCCAGCATGCTGCATGTCATACTTTTGTTTGTGTGACTCGGGCCACATTTCTGTTCCCATGAACTCTATTCACGTGAAGTCATTCATCAACTTGCGCACACTGCCGCGTAAATGTCAAGTCAGTCGAGAGTAATCTTTATGTGTGTTCATGAATGGTCTGTTATTATCACTAAATGTTGACCTTACATGTACCTATTACAATTGAGTCTGATGAGGCATTTAGTGACACACTTTTACTACCAAGTACACTTTGTGGACTTCAGCTGAACCAAAGCTATGTTGTCTGGACACTAATGAGGTGGAACAGAGACATCTAATTCTTTTTTTTTTTTTTAACTAAAGGCACCTGGAATTGTCTTAAATCAAATGAGGGTGTGACGACTTGACACATTAAAAGCTGACAGCCCCCTGAGTCTGTCGACTTGCCTAATCAGTTTCTGTGGTTTTGGTCAGATGAGAACACAGCTGTGAGGGAGAAACAATGTAATATGTTGTAAGACGAGCCAGAGTAATAATGAATCCTCATTATGATCCATCATGTCTGGACAAGGGCCTCCTTCCCTTATTGATTTCCTCATCTCTACAGTTTTTTCTGTTGGTGTGCCACTCCCTCTATCTAATTCCACTTTAACTGTCAGTGCTCTTCGAGTATCCATTTCAAATCAGCGAGTGTTTAACATGATCTTCTTCTCTGCTCTTTCCACAAAATGTATAATTTGAACAGGTGGATCTGTGATTTCCTTCCTATTGTTTTGGCCACCTCAACTCCACCCACATCTCTGCCTTCGTGCCCTCGGTGTGATTATCTGGCCTATGTTCTCGTTCAGCATCCTCGGCAGCCCTCCCTTAGACTCCAAGGTCTTGTAAGCTGGTGCAAGGTCGATCAGAGTGGAGGAAGGGGAGACAGCGAGAGAGCGCAAGCAAGACATTCTTCCAATCGCTCTTTTAGGACACGTGGTAGTAAGACTTTGGGCCGACAAGAAGAGGAAGCGGAAGAAGAATCGGTCCTGTGACAACAGCATACACTTTTATGGCATAAACAGTTTTGAAAACCAAGCCTCCACATCTTTTACTTTCTCTTCCTTTTGAGCCATGAAACAAATCTGTTCTCGCTATGAAAAAACAGAACAAACTGTCAATATTCACCCTACGCCGAAAGCCCCTACGAATCATAAAACCTGGCACTGACGTGCATGGTGAATGGTGCTGAATGGCAGTCGTGCATGAAAACACGCCTCAGCTGACTGAAAAGTGGAATCTACCAAAGACACATGCTAATCTGGCAGCTGGTTTTGGGATTTTGGAGTCCTTATTGCAACCGGAAAACTCAGCAGGGCCGAGAAAACAAGAAATAAGGTGTGGCTCACAGTTATGATAAGACTTCCTGGAAAAATGAGCGACACATTATTAATTTAGATAAACGTGGCTTGACTTCATGGCCACGAAATACTTACTCTTTATTGCATAGCCGCACAAAATGGAATAACTAGCGCAGTATTAACAGAGATTAATCTCAAGAAAATGCACGTATGCTACTGGTTATATTGCACCATCTGGTATGGCTACCTAATTAGCAAACCACAGCTTCGAGGCGGAGCTTCTATTTTCGACTGTGACAGCGGAGAAAGACGCAGTCATCCCTTTTGGTTCGCTGCTGTTCAGCGCAGGGAGTGGTTTCAGCATTTTGCCAGAGGTGGTGTCAGGGTGACGGTGTGCTGATACAGGTCTTCACGCTGTACGAAACACAACACCTCTGGACTTGCTGCTCAGAAGCTAGCATGCCAATACTGCCCTCGCTGACCTTTACACGCACTTACACACCGGTGCATATCTGGACACATATTGATACTTTCTTTATCTTTTCTGCATTGATGCACAAATGTAGAGGCTAAATGATGCTGCTCTGCCCCCCATAGAGTTTACGTGCAACACTGAGTAAGCTGTATTTGTGAGATCTCAGTTGGTTGAGAGACTGCATTCAGTAAGGTATCCAAAAAAAATTGGTGCAAGTGCCGGGTATACAGGACACACTATTTACTTACACTTCATTTATTAGTTTGGTTTAATGTGAGTACAGATCACATGGACAGAGAGCTGTGCAAATATAACATTGCTGTTCTGAGCTGTGCCACATCTGTTACTCTTATCAACTTCATTGGCGTGCTCGTCCTCATCATAAAGTCATTAACTTGTCTTATTTATTAGTCGCATCAAGTTATGTATTTGATTAAGGTTTTCTGAAAGTAACTCTTTGGCTAGAAACGCAAAACTAACAATGCCTATTGATTCTCTAGAGGAGCAAACCTCTGGAGACAATGAGAGCTCTTGTGTGGCACACATGGACAGCGCTAAACACACACACACGCTGACAACATACATAAACGAGAACCTGTGTAAACACACAAACCTCTATCCGACTCGACACTGGGCATTCTTAAACTGTGGTGAATATCTGATTGTGGGCAACACTGCATCTTTGTGCGCACATGTGTGTGTAAGGATGTTGTGAAATCAACAGACAGTGAGGATAATGGCGGGCCTTATGGTTTATAGAGTGGCTCGCTGGCTCGCGTTTATGTCGTCTGTGTCAGTACACAGAGAGACAGGGGCTAATTTCTACTGAAACACACTAAGACGATTGCGAATAGCCAAAAGTAAAGTAAGATAACAAGTGAACAATTCACAAGTTTCAAAACAAGAGAATCATATGCTCTGACCTTTGCAGTCACCGGATCTCAATCTGACTGAGCAATCGTGGAAGATTCTGGGTGGGTATATGGGAAAATATCCTTTAGAACTGCAGTGTTGATTCCTCTGGGTGTTCAGAAAGTGTAAAATCCAGGATATTTTGAACTTATACCCTTACTCACTACTTAATAAGACCCTATTTAAGAAGTTACTGACTCCCCAAATTATACAGAAGCACTGCTCAACCTAGGTGCATTACACCTACAACAAAAAAAATGCATACTTTAATTTGTTTCAGCCGATGATCAGGAAGTGTTGCCGTGACTGTGTGATTTTGCCCAATAAGACCACAGCATTATTGCTAAATCTTTTTTTTCCCCTGCAAAGTAGCACAAACTGTCAGTCTGAAATTTCTCTCCTCATTATTTCCTTTTAAGGTCACAACTCTGCAACTGTCTGCTATATTTTTCATTTAAATATTTGCAGAACAAAATTTTCATTCCTGGACAAACACTAAGGCATCTAATCATGTGTTCCACTACTAATCCCACGCTAAGCACCTATGTTTGGCTGCGTTATCTGTGTATTTTATGCAAAGACACATTACCAGTCACCAATTTTATCTTCCGCCCTAATCACCAGTGACCACATCATGCAATGTCTCATGCCTGCATTGACCAAATATTACAGGGGCCCCTTCTCTGCTAGACTGAGGCAAAGGTTGCTAGAAAAAGCCTGAGCGAGAGAATCCGACTAGTGGGACGGCAGCATTATAAATGTTACAGCCATCTGACACGCTGTCGGAGATGAAGAGGCCTAAGAAGTCATGGCTGTCGAGAGAAACAAGTAGAAGCTTGTGTTGACATGTGTACCTCCGGACAGAACAATAATGAAATATCTAGACCCTTATTACTGGCAGCACAAATAGCAGCTTTGACACATCAGTCATCCCACATACTAGCGCTGCTGTGTAGCTCTGATAAAATGGGCACTGCTGCTATCGTGTGATGTTTAAAACAGAAACCTGAAAATAAGAACAGGAAGAAACATGTATCAAGTCAGGTTAAAACCTCATTTATTACTGGTGTATTACTTTGCTAAGGGCATTTCTTATTTTTAGCTTAGCTTAAAGTGTGTCATGCTCGGGCAAAACTGTGTCAAACTTCCTCAGAGAGGATGAAATGTGGTTGTATCACCAGAAGCATACAGAGAAGCCCTCGTGTAATAAAGGCTTAACCTGTCAGCGCACATTCAGCCAGGCACATAATCCTTTCTGTAGGGCAGATTCTAAATGATAGGAAGCACATATAAATGCAGAGTAATTTGCACCTGAATGTATGCTCGTATGCAACTCGACGCCGAGAGAGCAACGTGATCTTACGACTTCCTTATCTGCCATAATCACAGTGACACGTTCCTTAGCCAGACAGAAATTGACAGTCTACCTGCAGCGCACCTATTGTGGAGATTTTTTTACAAAGTCTCTACTAAGTAATCTGCCACACATCTGTCTTTGCTGCGACTGCTCACATGTGTGCACATACTTGGGTGTGTGTGCTACTGTCTGAGCCACCATGAATCCCTCTAAGTCACAACAACAACATTCCTCATCATTGCCCCAACCACCAACAAGCCACCGAGGGTATACTCAGAGATCATGAGGAGAAGGACAAAGACGGGAGGAGAAGGAATGAAGGCGTCAGATACTTTTAGAAATAAAATCGTGACCAGCTGCTGTTCACAAATTGTTTTAAAGCAGCAAACAAACAGCAAAATTAATGTATTTGGTGCCAAAAGATATTATTGTATGAATAAAAATGCTTTTCGTTCCTTATAAACTAGTCTGATCTACACGGACAAACCAGCCTGGTCTGTAATCGCTTGGAAAAAACATGTATTACAGTACACTGCAAGTCACCCAGACAAAGTAAACTCTTAAGTCGACTTACTTTCACTCCCGTTTAAAGATCAACAAGTAAAACCTTCTCCATTTACGCGTTCTCCTTCTCCCATGTTTCTCTGTCCTTCTTTCCCCTCTTCCCTTCTCTTTGCAACTTTCTTCCTCTCTCTCTCTCTCTCACTCGGTTACTCCCCCCTCTGTCAGACGCATGCAAACACTTACTTAGAGACACACACACACTCCCACAGACAGAGTCACCCCCTCACACACTCTCTCCTCCCGCGACCCGAAATGCTTGGCAAACATTCTAACGTACTGAAATACTGCTTGCCATATAAGGTAGCACCAGCTTCACATGTCACACAATTTACATACAGCGGGGCGGGAGTTTGCCTTACACAGGGCACGCATGTTAAGGAAACACACATGTGGGAGATCCATGCTTTCGCTTTGGGCTGACACAGCAAGAAAGAGGGAAAACGTATAGGAGAGTCAAATGATACCATTCTCCCTGTTAACCAAACCCTGAAGGATAACTCCAAACATGTCCTATGTTGAGTCAGGCAGAGGGAATGAAAGCTGAGTGGGCGATCTATTGATCCTCTCCACTGCTTCCTGGAACAACCACGGCCCTCTAAACACACACACACACACAAGCAAATTTTCTTGCTAACTAGCGCTACCCTCAGGAACGAGCTATTGTGTGACTGTCTGGTGTGAGCCAAGAATGTGTCTAAATGTGTGCGTGCCTCTATATATATGTATATGTGTATATATATATATATATATATATATGTATATATATACACACATATATATACACGCATATATATATATATATATATATATATATATATATATATAAATATACATATATATATATATATATATATATATATATATAAATATACACACACACACACAACAAGCCATAACAAATGGAAGTTAGCCATGTGGTACACACACAACCACACACACACACACAGAGCAGACACCAAGGCAAACAATCTCCACATCTCTACCTATTCTCTATTGCACAAGTGCCTACTTTGGAAAGTAAAGGCAGCACACACACACACACACACACACACACACACACACTCACAGGAGGAAAGATCTAGATAAACCAGTGAGGCAGGGAGGAGGGTTATGAACCAAGCTCTTACCTCTCACATTGCCCTCCAGTTTGTGTGTGCGTGCTTCCGCGTGTCGACTGGCTCTGTATGTTTATGCGTGTATTCAGACAGGCCGCGACAGCAGACCCCCAGGCACCGGCTGGACCATTCTCAGGCAGGCAGGCAGAACACAGCAAGGCAGAGCGACTGGCAGAAGAGGAGGCAAGCGAGTGAGCGAGTGAATCAGCAGCGAATGAGTAAAGGAGCTGTGCGCGGAGCCGAGCACCCAGAGTGAGGGAGAGCGGATAGGGAGAAAGCAAGAGAGAGAGAGGAGGAGTGTTTGTCTGTGCGGTTGTGTGTGTATGCGTTGCAGCGTTGGCTGTGTGCGCTAGTGTCTCCCCTCCCCTGCCTCTCCAAGTGGCTAAGCTGGGTTGTGCAGAGCTGTGCTGAGACGGGGCTGGGCTGTGTCTTTACTGACTCCCCAGCCTCTGGATCATCTGTCTGCTGCAGGAAAGTAGTGCTCACTGGGCGGCAGTGGCAACAGCTGTGGAGGAGGAGGAGGATGACGAGGAAGAGGAGGAGGGAGGGAGACCGGACTGCACTGGGCATACAGATCCTGCAGTTCCCTCTCCCTCCTTTTCTTTCCCACTGAAGCTGGCCACGCCCCCCCCCCCCAAAAAAAAAAAAAAAAAAAAAAAACACCAGGAAGTGCTGGCTCAGTTACAGCAGCACTGTCCTTGCCTATTCAGTGAGGCTGAGGTAGGAGAGAGGGAAGAGGCAGGAAGGAAAGATTGGGAAAACCCAGCAACAAGAAAAGATGAACATTAGTAACAGGATAAATATACCAGTGAGGAAAGGTCAAGCACAGCGAGGACTTTAGAAGTAAAAGTCATGAGAGTGATGTTAAATACAACCAGAAAGGAAAAGAATGAGTGAAGGAAGGGTCTTAATGAGGTCAGGAAGAAAAGGAATAAATGGCAATTGGAAAGAATGAATAGAAGATGGGGTGTGGAGGAAACAGTTATGGAAAGACCCAACAGTTATGATGGGTTTTTGCATCAGATTTGGCCTGGCTTCTGTCCAGATCCTCTCTCTCACTTTCATACGGCTTTCCGTCCTTGGCATGCAACCCTTAGCTCACACTAGCTCCTGCCCACATTATAAAAGCACTACAAAGTGAAACTGCAATAAGTAAGTGGTTATAGTTTTAAAATTACTTCTTTAAAAAAAAAAAGATGCAGACCAGGGCGGTTTGGTTGCAGGTCAGCAACATATTAAGAAAAAGGCTAGCTCAGAAAACACAGAGGCGGCTGTTCCTGCCAACTCGCCTGTATTGTTGTTGACACCAGGCTTCTGCTGCTGCAACCCATGCATCCAATAGAAGCCTCCAAGAATTTGATTTGGACCCGATTCTGCAATATCCGGTAGCTATGGAGATAGTGGCCCTGGCGTCTGCAGGAATCCTTGCAAATTCCGAGCGTGTGCTGACGCCAAGTTTTGCGACCAGTTCGTGCATATTGTCTGTGACTCGCTTTCATTTGATTGCCATCACAGGGAAAATGCATCCCTATATCCAAAATATCTTTACAATGTGTTTTCATATACAAAGCATGTTAATGCTGCATAGCGCTGAATGTAAATTAACTGAGCTCACACATATTCACTTGGAGACGTAAGGGTCCATTCTTTCTTTGGCGTATTTGCCTATATGTACACGAAAGACTGCTTAAAACCATTGCCTATCCTATGTAAAACTGTCACACCTCCACTGTCTCTCTGTTCCTAGCCTTGCTATCTCGCTGGACTTGTTTCAATGGCTGCCCAGCTCTGTTTAATACAAAGCTGGTGATAAGTCATCTCCAATTTACACAGCAGCACTGTAAACCCAGGGTGACAATCTGTGGCTGAGCCTCTGCAGCACGGCTAACCCTTTACCTATAGCCAAAACCCTTCCTCAATGTGTTGGTAAACTCAGAGAGAGCAAAAACACAGTGCGCACTGCAAACAAAAGAACTGAAAGCATTATTGCAAGTTCTGATCGACAGTGGCTTTATTAACTACAACAGCAACGTGCATGCCTTGATCTATTTCTAGCAGTCATTCATTAGTGAAGGAAGGATCTATTTGCAAGCATGGAAACAACCCTGCTAGACTTATTGTCTTTTAGATTAGAAGGCCAATCTGTTTGACGGCACTGAGCTTTCGTTGACCCATAATAAAGAAACACAGTGATTGATGATCTGGCTCAATAGGAGACATATTAGCAACTCCTCCAAAGATCTGGGCTCTCTGTGAAACTCAGACACTAATGTGGAATTTCCCCTCTTCTACTGCAGTTCAGTGTACACTGTGTGCATCCTTTTCATATTTCTCTTCTTTATGATATCGCTAAATCTGTCTTTTCATAGCTTTATCTCACTTATGAATGCATCTTAATTCCCCTAAACTTGCCTTAAAGGCTTTATAAGTGCTTGTCAATTCGTAATAATCCCCTCAATCATACTCCTCTCACCAACTTCAGGTATGAGTGCAGAGCCAAATTGTGCGGTTACCAAATGTTCGCTCATTGCTTCTGACAAGTTTCATTCTGATCGAGCGCACAGCAGGAGCTTACTTCTACTTTTATAGTTCATATTTCTTTTCGTGTCACACTGGCCGAATGATTTGCCTTCTTTCTGCACATGCCTCGTATCTCACAGAGATGTTGTGCTCTCTAGATCAGTGAAGCTGTAGAGCTGCGAAAGGATGCGCAAAAAGCAACAGGAATAAACACACTGAGGTCGAGCAAACTGTTAACACACATACTTATGGTACAAACCGAAAACAGGAAGGGGTGTGTGTGTGTGTGTGTGTGTGTGTGTGTGTGTGTGTGTGTGTGTGTGCGCGCATACGCTTGAGAGAGTGTATTCAATGTGCTTGAAGGGGAATTCCACCACTTTTACACTCTAAGTTCATCAAGTTACTCATGGGGAGTATACTCAGCCTGCAAAAACACTTGTATAGTTTCTTCTGTGGTTCTGTACGGTTAGGGAAGTCTCTAAAGTAGCCTAAGTAATGCCTGGGAATTCCCTTTGCCACATCAGTTTATGTGTATTTGTATTCATAAATATATAAAAAGAAATCGGTTTTTTGCATATCTTCCTCATTTACTGAAGTAGAAAAGAAGATAATAAAAATATTCCTAATATTTCAAAATTCTGTTCAGTTCAACGTTAACACAGTCTTTTCTTGATGACCCTTCTGTCTCTGTCACATAAAAAAACATAATGGCTAACATTTTATTTCCTTTCCTTCCTCCCTGATGAACTCAGCTTTCCACCTTAAGCATCCCTATCATCTCAGCACTCTGCTATTTCTCAGCTGTCTGTAAATGACAGTAGCTGGCTGATGTGAACTCTCACTCCTCTGTGGAAATGTTCCAGAGCTTCTATATGCCAAACTCCAATAGCTCATTTATTCCTTATTCCCCCCCCTTGAAAAAGAACCACAGAAAAAAACTCACTCAATCGTATAAAGTCTTTAAGAAAGACACAAAAAAAAACCCAGGAAATTGCATTTAACATTAGTGATTTCACAAGAGTATATATTGGAGGCTGCAGAATGACAAAGCAAAAATCCCCCCTTGAGGTAACTTCTACACTTTAAACAACTTAACAGAGAAAAAGCAAAACAAAACAAAGAATCCTCCTCTTGTTCAAATTTGCAGTCATATTTCCCTACTGCATACTTTGTGGTTTTCTCTTAACTTCTTTCCATTTTGACATGGTGGGGGAAGCAGGTGCAATTCAAGCTGTCAGTTTTGAAATACACAGAGAGGAAATAGCACGCTGTCTTGTCCCTATCTGACACCACAGTGCACATGTATGTGTGTGCAGAGCTCAGGCTTTAAGCTTATCTTGGAGCAAACGAATGGAAACACCCTCTGCAAAGAGGCCTTTCATTTCAGCTTTTATCTAATTTTCTGTCTAAATGTAGCCTATGGGTATGTATTGCTGTGTTTATCATATAAAGTCTCCTTCCATATAAAACCCTCAACACGCACCCCACTGAAGAGACAAATTTGACAAATGAACAAAGAACAAAATATTGCATGTTAACGTCGAACGGAGACTGACATTTCCTTCTTTGTGAAGCAGAAAAGAAAGTAAGTTAATCAGCTTGCTGTTTAAATATTTTTTTAAAAATGTCAACCAAACCAATTGGAAGTATTAAATAGAAATTACAAACAAATTTCACTTGGAGCCGGTTAAAATAACCTAATCATATCAATTCTGCAGGGAAAACTTACAGACAGAGAGCTTACCTGCGTGTTTGTCTAACGCTGATGTGCCTCTGGGACCGACAAAGCCACTTCAGCATAGGTCATGCTGCTGCAATGCATTGTGGGATTTACTAACATCTTCAGTTCTCTCTTCCTCTACTTCTCTAACTCTGATCTCTCTCTCACTCTCATAATAGAACCTTCTGCTTGGCAACGGCTATACCACAAATGTGGTCAGGTTTACAGCGAACCATCACTGCGCAACATCAAGTCTCCATGACAACCACTCTTTATCTCATTTGCATCTTCTGCTTGCATTATCTACTTATGCCAAATATGGTCGCTTTGTTATTCTCCCCGCCTCTCTCTGTATCCCCTTTCTGTAACTTCCTCTTTTCGCCCATTTGCAAAACTACGTGTCAACACACTGTGCAACATATATTGTACAGTATATATCCGCAATGACATGTACAAATGCTTGAAAAGGTGCGAAAAAAGGAATTGATTGAGACATTATAGTTTGCAGACTAAGAGATAAGTTAGATGACTTTACAAATCAGGAAGTGGAGTGTTGAAGAGGCTGTTTGTGAGACTGACTTCAAAAGGAAACGGGGGTTTCAGCTCGACAATATGACCTCATCCCCTTAAAAACACGTATATCATAACAGAGCACCATTGATTCCTCTTCTGCGAGGTTGTTGCAGCCCCTTCCTCTTCCACCCGAAAGCCCATGTCTATCAAACTATCAGTGGAATGTTGAACCAGGCCCCTGGGGCCCACACACGCAGCAACACTCAGCAGCACTCAGCACCTGTTTCCGACTGCCAGCACAGAGAAAGAGACGTGGTCAATCACACAGGACAGCTCAGTGCAGGAGAAAGAGCAGAGGAGGGTAGGAGACAAACAACAAGCATTTTATCAGCAAAAATACACAACTGAGTAGCTACAGCTTTATCTTTCACAGCAGAGTGTGACTGCATGTAACTTAGCAATATTACATGAATTATATATATTATAAACAGGATTTAGTCCTATAAAATAAGGCCAGTGCAGTTTCCATTCTTTGTCTCATTTCAGTACTTTTCAAAATTAGCAGTTCTTGCTTCACTGTTAAAGTGCTACCGTTGCTTGTGCACTGCTTGAAGCTACTCTTTCAATACAGTAAAA